CTTTCAAGTCTTTGAAGAAGTTGTCCAGCAGGGTACTATTTCCCCCCTCGTATGTCGCTTAGCTGCTTATACTGACTACCACATAGGAGAAGAAAGACAAGGGCATGGCCGCATTCAAGCTGCTTTACTCTATGACTATCATGCAGGTGTACAACGGAGATGCAGACGCGGTATCAATGCTTGATGAGCTGGAGTTCTGTCATACCAAGTTCCTAGGCGACAAGGAAACCAAGGCGGAAGACACCGGCGATGCCTCAGATGCGTTGGTTGAGATCCTTCTCAGTTTCGCATCCAAGCAGTCGCAGCTGTTCCGTCGTATGAGTGAGCAGGTGTTTGGCGCTTTTGCTGACCAGATCACCGAGAACGGATTGGAGTCTTTGACCTCGGTATGTAGCCTTAACTTCTGTTACACATTTCATTTTCTAACTAGACCCAGATTCTGGAGGCCAAGGAGAGTCTCGCTGGACAACAAGAGATGTTCGAAGAGCAAGACGCTGAAGGTGACGAGGAAGAAGAAGATGACGATGCCGAGATGATGGATGTCGACGAGGATGAGCTCGATAGCGATGTCGAGGTCGTCGAAGCCGGCAGCTCCGGATCCGACTCAGACGATGACGAGGAAGAGGAAGAAGAAGACAACGAAGAAGATGCCAACGAAGTTGCCGCCTTCGAAGCCAAACTAGCGGCAGCTCTCGGACAACACGGCGCGGACGAAGGTGATTCTGACTCCGACATGAACGATGACGAGATGGATGAGCTAGACGACAAATTGGTGCAAGTATTCCGCGCGCGTCGCCAAGAAACCTCCCACCGGAAAGACAAGAAAGACGCACGCGACAACATGGTGAACTTCAAAAACCGCGTTCTGGACCTGCTAGAGATCTTCGTGAAGAAGAGCCACACCCGCCCTCTTGCGCTAGATATCCTCCTGCCATTGCTCCGACTATCTCGCCGGACCAGCGTGAAGCAGATCGCCACCAAGGCAAACGGTGTGCTGCGCGAGTACACCAAGGTGTGCAAGGGCAATTCGCTCCCGAAGATCGAAGACGATGCACAGGCAGAGGCACTCTGGGAGCTGCTCCGATCTGTTCATAAGGAGGCTAGCCACAGTGGACCTATGGGCCATGCGACTGCTTGCAGTCAGGCTAGTCTGCTTGTTACTAAAGTGCTTGTTGCGCATGATAAGGATGCTATTGCGGGTGTGGTAGATGTTTACGCTGCTACTCGCAAGGATCAGCTCATGAGCACCAAATGTCATGTGCAGCCGTCGTTCTTTTCGGAGTGGAATAACTGGTGTGTTTCTGCTAGCAAGCAGTTGAAGTGAGGTTGGATTATTACCAATTGTATAGAGAATGCGAGTATGATCTATCGCTAGTTTTCAATGTCAATGTCATTATCATGTTCACTCGAGGGTTCTTCGCTGTCAAATCCAGTATTCCCATTCCCAATTTTTATATTAGGATCGATTGTCATATATATATTTCAATTAAACATTGCCTATAGAGTTGTTTTCGGTTTTATAATAGGTGAACTACTATGAAGCTTGGAAATATATGTCCATGGACATCCTTCAAGATATATATCACAGAGTGTGAGAAGAAAATATACTATGTTGGCCATTTCAACCTTCTAGCATACAATACTTGATTCTGTCCACGGATAGCTATATCCAGCCCCCCAATCGCAACGAGGTATATAAAACCTCCCTAAAAGCCAGTAACATATCGATGCTTAGACGTCTCCTCCAAAACCTCCAACTTCATTCCAACCTCAATAGTCCCCTCATTACGCGGTGCACTCAACATCCCGAAACAAGGCTTATACTTCATCCCCTCATCAACCCTACGGTACGAAACAAGCGTATCCCACGGCTGTTTCTTATGTTTGATCGCCGTATCCGGATCAACATTAGGCACCTGGCAGCGCGCACAGCGAGCCACAATATCTAGATCAAGCGAAGGCCGAATAACAGCCTTGTCATCACCAGCCTTCTGATCGGTAATGCGAACCAACTTCCACGAATCCTCGCTCCACGGCACCCCGCCGCGAACAACGATGTTCGGACGGAACCGCTCCACAGTAATCGGGTCGACACCCGCTCTTCCCAGACGATCATTGAGCTCTACCAGCGAAGCCTCGGACGCAATCAGCACGGGGTGCACATCTGGAAAGCCGGTTGTCTGAATACGGCCCAGACGACTGGGGGCGCCGTTACCCTTCAGCACGCGCGGGGTCGGGCCCTTGTAGACTAGGGCGACTTCGCGGCCGAGAAAGGCGGAGAAGGGGGCATTGATTTCATCGCTGTACCTGTACCCGTCTGTGTGCGTGTCCCAGATCTGGACGGGACCCGTATTTGTATTTTCCGCTAGCCATTGCGGGGATGGATGGGAAGGGATGCGGATTGTATAAAATTGATGTTCTTGATCTTGGTCTTGGACTTGATCTTTTTTGTCCTGGCTGGATTCATTGGATTCTGGTTTTGGGATACTCACGACCAACTCACTGCCGTCGGCATTTAGAGCGGTGCGGATGCGGGTCATATCCGGGATTTGGCGGATGGTTAGGAAGGTATTTGAGGACGCGTCGATGAGCATCCAGCGGCGGTCAAGGTCGAGACCGTGCTGTTTTAGGACTGTCGATTGGACTTCGAAGCCTCGACATGATTTTATGGGGTACATGCGCAACGAGATGATCTCGCTGGATTGTTTAGGGCGCTGGCGCCATAGGCGGAGAAGTTTGGTTGGGTATTGACCTGGTTTGGGCCATCCCGTGAAGCGGGGAATCAAGATGACCGGAATTAGGAGTATGAGGCCTAATATTACTGCCGAAGCCATGCCGTGTGACTGAAGCATGTTTGCTGTTTGGGTACTCCGTAGATGTTCGGGTTATACACGTCCCAAGGAAAGTGACAAGTTGGTTTTTGCCAAGGAGTGCCGCCTTTCATATAATGTTCCGAGGGCTTATGTTGAGGTGCTCAGGTTAGGGAGGTGTGGTGTTTCTGGTTGCTATTATAGTCGTGCTGTTGATATGCTGTTGATATGGTGTGTATTATCCTATTATATTCTATATATGGTAGCTGTTTTAGGCCCAATAATAGAACTCGGAAGTATGAATTAGATACATAGTATCTAGGAAATGCCACATGAAAACACCATGCACGTATAAATATGCAATGAACGAGAGGGAAAGGAACTGAAAATGCATATAAGTCCCAGAGAAGCAATTGCTGAAGCTCAATACCGAAAAAAAAACCAACATATACCAGGTAGACCCCTCTGAAGAGGTATATGGACAAAGCTGACTGCGATACTGCAATCTGTCTTATGTTGAATGCTTCTTATCGAGCCAACATGTGACCATTGCCTTAATTAGGGCGAGTGTGACAACCCGACCTTGCTCAATATTCGCATCCTCAGACGCCCCAGGGACATGGAGGAACAGGACATTGCGATCCTGTCCTTGTAACTGGGCCAAAGACATACTGGTATAGAAAATGAAGTCGCACAGATAGTGACCCGCGTCCTTGGAGATCCGCAGATCCGACTCGGGGGCAAAAGAGCGCCACGTCTCTAGGAACTGGTGCTCGGGCTGGTAAGGCGAAGCAGAGGAGGGATCATCTATAGCACGACCTGGGATCAGAATCGGCGGCAGACCTAGTCCTTTCCATCGCTTTTCGCCATCCACATAGCCGGGACGACCATTGACATCGGTGATATTATAGTCATCTCGGTGAGCTAAAGTTTCGACAGAGTAATATTGTCTTGGAGCTGCGATCCCGATATGAATAATGAGATCTGGTCTACGACCACCATGAGAGGTAGCAAACTCCTCTAAAATTAAGGGAAGAGACTCTCGAACAGTGGCATAAGCCACTGGGATTGGAGTGGGATGCACATGGAGTGAGACTCGACGATCAGAGTCCTTCGGGAAAAGAAAAGATGATGGAAGAGAGGAAGCGATTAGATATGACGCATTCACAAGGTTTGTCTTAAAGGGCTGGTTACACTGTTAGTTTTTCGGGTCGGATACTCGTAGCATCCGTGCAGATCACTTACCCCAAAGCCTGTTATTAGAACAGATATCTCATTAGGCGAGGCCAAGGGCTGTGGTGGGTTGTTCCCGACAGGGGTGGAGTTTACGTATGGGGCAGTTCCGTAGTCACCCATATTGTTCAAAAAGAGTTGAAAGTTGAAGAAAAGAAGAGGGGGAAAAAAATAAAAAAGGGTAAGTTAACGAATGCGGGGGTCTTGGGACCCGACTGTAACCTATAAGAATATTAGCCTAATTCTGTTAAGCTATATGTGGCGACCAGTTAGGCCTTCATATTCTTCGGCGAAAAACTAGTTCGTTATATTTATATTATCATTAGCTCTTTGCTAGCGTTCCTTCGTACTTGCGACGTATTCGCCCCCCCACTTCAAATCTTATGACATTTCCTATTCTTTGTACCACAAAGTACAGTGTAGTTTCCCCCCCTTCCGATTCTACCGGTCTTGCATCTTGCATTTGTAAACTTCCATTATCATTGGCACGGTTATAGCTTGAAAAAGATCTGCATATGCAAGTGGATTTCAGACGGAATAGAAATCCATTCAAGAATTGCCTGTTTGGGTAATGATCGTCTAATAGGTCTCGTTCTCGCATTTCGTCAACTCTCCTAGCAAGGTGAGGTATATACATATCTGAACTTCCGAGGTTCAAGAATATTATTTATCAGATCTTTATTCATTCCGGTGAAAGGTATTCGTCAGGCTTAGACCTTATTGGACTTATGGCTTTCCAATGTTTCTTGGCTTCGGTTCCAACTTGATATGTAGCATTTGATATTTACGCGGACCCCCCCCCACCCCCACCCCACAACGCAACACAACCACCCAACACCAACTATACGGGACCCCCCCCCCCCCCCCCCCCCCCCCTGCTTTGAATATCTAGTGCGAGGCCCGTGGGGTAGAAAAAAAAATGGAGTCTCCTTAACTAATAGCTCAGAACTTCTATAAATGAGAAGCCCCTCGGAGAATATCAGTGAGTAAACTGGGGTGTTGCTTCTACTGTCTTTCCCCACTTTCTTTTTAGTCTTGACCTTGACTATGGCGGTCATCACTGAATTACTCAACAATCCCTATGTCATACAGGGTGTGTGCATTGCCCTAGTGGCGGTGTTCATAACAAGTGTCTGGGCAGATATAGCAAACGACATTCCCCATAGGCGCATTCCTTTGGTTGGAAAGACCTGGTGGGACCTCACCAACAAAAAGGCCCGGCTACGCTTCACCCAGTCATCTCGTCAACTAATTGCCGAAGGCTTTGCCAAGGTGAGTCTTAATACAAATACTTCTCTACCATCAAATGTGCTTACACGCCTTAGGGAGCCAATGTCTTTCAGATCATTGGAGCCACGAGCCCGATGGTTGTATTGCACCCGAAGTTTGTCGATGAAATCAAGAACAACCCAGATCTAAGTTTTAAAGACTCTATCAAAGATGTAAGCTATGACCAAGAATAACCTGTGACCGTGGCTAACTTGACTAACCCGATAGACCTTTTTTAACGATCGGATTCCTGGATTTGAACCATTTCATAATGGCACTGCTTTAAAGGTTACCATCGAGGTTGTGCGGACCAGTTTGACCCAGGCACTCGGTATGCATGTCTATATCTCACCTGAGAGACAGAACTGACATATTTCTCATTTAAACAGGGTCAATTTCACTTCGGCTCTCAAAGGAGGCTGGTATGACCTTGAAAAAATCATTGCCCGCTACTGATGGTATGCTAAAGCACCCCATTGGTATTGAACCCTCTCACTGATATTCCTCTCTTGGCAGAATGGAAGCCCTACCATATCGCCTTTAAGATCCCGCATATGGTAGCCCACGTCTCTTCTCTGATATTTGTTGGAGAGACCATCTCCCACGATGATGAGTGGATCGATGTTTCCGTGAATTATGCTATAGATGCGTTTGGGGCTATGCGTGCTCTACGAGAATGGCCATCCGTTCTCCGTCCTATCGTGCACTGGTTCTTGCCCGCCACCCGAAAGCTACGCATGCACTTGAAGAAGGCTCGTTCCATTATTAGCCATGAGATAGACAGGCGGGCGTTAATTCGCGCGGGCAAGCTCCCTGAAGACGATCCACTCCGTGGAGCTGACGCTCTGGACTGGTATCGCGAGACCGCCGAAGCCCGGAATAATTTGACCTTTGACCAGTCTTGTGCTCAGGTTGGATTAGCGCTCGCGGCCATCCATACCACGTCGAACTTGCTGACCAACGTCCTGTATGATCTTGCGGCGTATCCGGAGTACATGCAGCCGTTGCGTGATGAGATTCGTGCAGTTGCTGCCGAGGATGGAACTCTGAAGAAGACTAGTTTGCTTAAGCTAAAGCTGTTGGACAGTGTGATGAAGGAAACGCAGCGCACTCACCCACTTTCATTGAGTAAGTTATTTCATGGTCTTTCGATGTTCATTCGTTTCAGAACTTGTTTTCTTTGAAATGGCTGACACTCCACAACAGCCTCCATGAACCGTCTCGCCCTTAAGCGAGTTGTGCTCTCCGATGGAACTGTGATTCCCAAAGGTGCCAACTTGTTCGTCTCTACGAAAACACTGGAAGATGACAGCATCTACCCTAATGCTGCCACTTATGATGGTTACCGGTTTTACAATAAACGCCAGCAGCCCGGGAACGAACACAAACATCAGTTTGTCGCAACTTCACCCGAGCACTTCGTCTTCGGTCATGGTGTCCACGCCTGCCCGGGCCGATTCTTCGCTGCGAATGAAACCAAGATTTTGCTCCTTCATTTCATCCTGAAGTATGATTGGAAAGTGGAGAGCGGTGTTCGACCTCCGAACATTGAAAATGGTGTCGAGTCTATCCCTGACCCAAGGGTTCAGATTCTGTTCCGGTCGCGCAAGCCAGAGGTTGACCTAGGTTTCCTAGGAGAGTAGTGGATAAATTTAAGCAGGGCATTTCCTTTCTGTTTTATATATATTGAATATCGCTAGTGTTGTGTTTTCAAATGTTGATCTAAGGAATGATGTTATAAGCTGTGGGACAAACTGGATTCGAGTGTCCCATTGAAATATTATCGAGCCATTTTAAAAACGAAAGTCAAGTCCAAGTCGTTTTGTATGGACATCAATATATTGTAGGTAAGACTCGAAAGTGGAGTTGATTGGCATCTGGTCCACAGTGCTGCGGGTATGCTGTAGCTATCCATAAGCGAAATGAGATCTTAGTAAATCAGTCTCTGAATCGGAGAATTTACTCCATACATTGACATACAGATTTAAACTGCAGTGACACAATGCTAACTCTGGAGATGTACCTTACTCCATGCAATGACACGTGACTAATAATTAAATATAATACGGTAATAATACAGTAATTTTCACGCGTCGTGGACGCGTCGCGCGTCAAAGCTTCTCCCCAATTGAGTTATATGGGGGTAGCTCAGGGCTCCAGACCGCACAATGAGAAAATGTTGCTGATCTACGGTACCCAGGTACCCGTTGGGGGTTTTTTTTTTCGTTTAAACAAACCAATTGACTGTGAAAGACAAAGAATTTTTGCTTTTAGCGGCCCGAGCCACTACAATCATTGGAAGTTAAGGAAAAAAAAATAAATCTGAGAAGAATATCAGAGCAGACATGCACTTTTATACGCAACCTGGCCGTTCTTTTGTTCTGTAGCCCTTGCAGTTATGGAGTGAACGACTGGAGACAATGTCTCGAAGATGGAGTACCGATCTACCACATGTACGGAGTACTCCGTAGTACTCCGTATGTTGTATATGGTACCTGATTCCACCAGCCCCCTCTTTTTATGAGGCCCTACTCTCTAAAGTAAAGTTTACAGCCTACTACTTTGTCTAAGCCCTAGAGGAGAAAAAAAAAGCACTTTGGTCCAAGGTGTCCTTACCTCCCAGCTCCAAAGCTCCGTCAGTTTATTTGTCGACGGTACATGCATTAAGCAAGGCCCCAGAGGTGTCCACTATACACTATAGGAAATACTCGAGAAAATCTAAACATCTTTCTTGTAACCAAAAAAAAAAAAACCACGTAGAATTGTAGACATCCTATAGCAAAGTTTTATCGAAGATTTTCGCAGTGGGCCGTTGAAGTACACAAGTATAGGATACCAAGTCTAATAGGCATTTCACCACGGGGAATACAGGTACCAAGTACCCCCCCACTCCCGCACGCCTCACCCTACGCCCAATCCTCCTCCATCTTCCTTTTCTTCTTTCTCTCTACCAACCCTTTTCTACCATTATCGCGAGATATTTTCTTGCACCCTTCTCCGTTTGAGGAGACGTTCTTTTCTTTTGTGTCTTTTTTTCGGGTAATGACGAAATCCTTCATTCCCTACTACTCGGACGGGATGGAGCCGCAGATGTGATCTGGTGATCCCCGATTTCAAGTTGCCGCATTCCTTAGGAAGCACATCACGCACACCGAGACCTCGGTTTTTTTACTTCATTCACGTTACTCCTCTGCTCTCGTTGCATTTTCCTTTTTTTCTCCCCTTCACGATTCACGATATTGACGCGACGCTGCGCGCTTCGACTCGAAGTCGCGCCGTACTCACCTACTCTCAACTCCCCCGACACGTCCTCCAGTTCCCCCCACAGAGATCGCATTGACCAACGTTCTGCGGTTTGCAAGACCGCAAGACCGCCAACATGGCTCAACGTCAACTTTCGCGCACTCTGCCGAAGAACTTCACCTTCTCCCTCGGCGACAATGAACCTAAGACGCCCGAGCGCCCTAGCACTACTATGAATGTGCCTCCACCGCCTCGCCATTCAATCTCCAGTGGTCGTCTGCCCAGAGTTCGGGCTCGCGCTGGTACCAATGTCTGCGCTCGCATGGACATGGATATGTTCCAGTTCCACGGTTCCGATGTTCCCCTACCTTCAATTGAAGTACCTCAATCGACCACCGACCTCGAGGCGCCTTTGTTCCGTGATTTCGCTAGAGATGAGGGATATCTTGCGCCTCCTCGCGTGCGAAGAGATTTTAAGACACCACCTGCGCAGATTCGTGGCACGCCTTTCGACTCCTGCGACACCGAGAATTCGTGGCCATCGTGGGACCAGACACCTGGCCCAAATGACATCAAGCGCCCAGGGTCGGCCTGTTCAACTTTGTCAAATTCTTCAGTTGAATCAATTGAAACCTTCGCATCACGACCATCTGTAGGAAGTTTCACCAGTGTCGAAAGCGATTTGTTTGACTCGTACTTCCCTTTGGAGATGTCCAAAGAACCAGAGATCGAGTCACCTTCGCGACCTCAGAAGCAGGCCGCGAATGTGAATGCCAAAGTGTCCAAGAAGCCCTGGACTCGCGAGATGGATACCCACTTATGGAATACTTATCAAATCTACCTCCAGGACCCTACTATGACTCCATTCAAGATGACCCCAGGCAGTATCCCTCCTTTGGGAGTCACCTCACGTGTTGCGCGACGCGCCAAGAAGACATGGGGGCAAAAGAGCAGTCGTATTGTTGACTCTGTCTCGATGAAGTCTGTTGATCCCGTTGGAATTTCTACCCCCAAGGCTGTGGACCAGGAGTTGCAACCAGCCTGGCCCAAGTCTGACTCCAAGACTCGACGACGCCTCAAGATGCTATGTCGACGCAAATTCTCGATTTCTCCACATTATCAGCGCATAATGCAGTCTCGCACTCCTGAACCTATCACGGAGATGTTCGGCCCTCCTACGGATACCCGCGTTAAGGACTTTGCTGACAACTCGGCCTACACTACTCGTGACCTCGGCATTTCTCTTGTCACCTCCGAGCCGACTCCACTTTCTCAGGTTACACAAGACCTGCCTTTGACTACGGACTGGTTTAACAACCCTGTATCTGCTAATGTCGAGCCACCAGTGGCTAAGACTCCTAGCCATCATCTTCGTGTCGGGTCTGCTCCTAACATCCCTCGTTTGGGATCTCCATTTGTGTACAGCACTTGGGGTCCCGGTGGATCAAACCGCGAAGTCCAGGATTTCAGTGCTCGACGTGGGACTGTTCATGTTCCAGGTTATCGTGCCCGACGCAACACATACTTGGACCAGTCCTTGCCCGATACCGATGATGTATTCGCGAGCGTTTCCAGGGAGCAGAAGAATCCTTCCGATCAAGAAGTGGAACGTCGCTTGGAGGACTATGTTCGTGACAACAAGTTCCAAGACATGGGCCATGGTCGGGTCCGCATCCGCAATCGTGGAGCTACCACCAGTGCTGTCAATCCCAGAGATATGGACCAGCTTTTCTCACCACCCTCGTCCCTCAACTCAGGCCCAATTGAACCCGAGGAGACTACACCTGTTCTGAAGGCGCCCGTGAACGCATTGTTGGATCTTGGCGAAAACATCAAACGCCTTGGCTCACCTTTCCGAATCGAAGGAGGATTCAAGCGTCGCGAAGCCCCGAAGCGAGTCACTAGACGAGCACCTGCGCTGTCTGATCCGTTCATGAGCGGTGGCCCTTCACACACGGGGCTTGATGACAGCACTTCTCCCATGCAAGTTTCCCCGGCCCAAGTACATGCTAAAGCCCCGGATCCTTTGCCATACAATGCCTCGGAGGATGGCCTTTCTGATGCTGAGCGTATCCGCCGGCAAATCTTGAATATGCCTTTTACACGCAACTAGGTTGCGCTCTTTTGCTGTCGAATTTTCAAGTATCCGTTTCACCGTGGCGTCTATTTGCGAGATTTAATCCCCTTTGCATAATGATTTGAACGAGATACCGACAGGGCCCTGGTACGGCCCTTGCATTTCCAGCCTTTTTACGACAGCAACACCGTCCACGACTGTAATGATACATTTGAGATTTTTTTTCACGCTCAACCCTCAAAATCGCAACACTGAACCTCAACGACAAAAACCACAAAAAAAAAAAAAAAAAAAAAACGTGATGGGTCTTTCCACTTTTCATTTGGTCGAAACCCACAGTACATCGGCGTCCGGCTGTTGGTTACTTGCCTACGAACATTGACCTCGTTTGTCTTGTACCAACAATCACCTTATGCGTCTGTTTCGCACCATTTACTCCGTGAAACCTTGGCTTTCTCGAGCAGTTTCATCTTCCATTCACTCACATCATTTCCTTTTCTTCCAACGGGGCTTTCACCTCGAACAAAAATAACACCAAAAGCACAAAAAAAGTTGAAAACAACCAAAACCCCATATCTGCTGTCACAACCAGCAACTATTCGCTATTTTTGCGATCCCACGCTCCTTACATCATCTCTTTTATCTTATTTTCTCAGACCTTGTTCAGTCGTTCGTCCCTGCATCTCCTACATGGTACAACGCACCTTTCCTATCATGTCAAATTGGAGATGCGACCCGACTTGACAATGGTCACCTATCGAATTACCCGTCACACATGGAAACGACTCCCTGCCTTTATGTTGGCCACCGTCAGTCAACATAGACGGCAATGCACTCCCCAAAAAGCGAATGTGCAACGATACATATGCAAATACATAGACGAACTGAAACGAAACGAACGCGCATGAATATTGCAGTTGACCAACGACATCCCTGATACGCAAGCGAGGTGTTTGGTTTTCTTTTGCCAGCGGTCCCTTTTTTCTTCCTAATTCGCATTTCATGATCTCAATCTTGAAGCTGATTTCCCCGGATAATCTACTTCTCGATTGATGATCCACGATTTACCCCATGCTTTCGATTCTCGATTTGATTCAGCTCGTGCTCCATGATTCCCCTTGTGGCGAGCCTTATTGGGTTTGCATTCGGATAATCGCGTTTTTTTATCTGGTCATTTCCCTGCCTCTTCTGCGTCTCATGGCGTATGGATGTCTGTCTTTTTATTTCAGAGCCTGTTTTTTCTGGATCTTTGTGATCTTACTCTGGAGCTTGTGAGAGTTTGGCCGTTTTATCTATTTTACTCACTGATTTATTCTTCCCATACGCGGCTTGATCTTTCAGAGCAATCGCTTTGTTTGATCAAATTGATCCGCCAATTGAATTATCTTTTCGATTTTCATCTGTTTTTTTTTAGGTTGTAGGTCATCGATTGCCGATTGCCTGATAACGCCTACCTGTGTTCTTGAGCACACACCCTACCCTTGCATATATGGCTGCACTTTCATCGCTCTTAGTGTGCACCCGGCAGGTATCATTGGCAGCGGATAGACTCTTTATTCCTTGCTCTCCCTTGTGTACCGGATACTAATTGTACATGCTCTTTTATACCAGCCTTGATCAGCGTTAGGTCATACATACTTGAAGTCACAGTCTAGCACATGATACATTTCTTGTGGAAGTCTTCACGACTCGAAGTGGGCACGAGGAGCTGAAGATACTCGAATAGTCAACGAATAGCTGGTCTTAACGTAAGGAAGAATCAATGTCAGACATTATTTACAGATTAGACAATCAACAAACAACAATAGTAATCCAGAATAAGAGTAACAAGCAACAGGTAACATACGAAGAAAATGGGGGGTATAAGTTATAAAAATATCTGCAATGAGGCAATTCAACACAAGAAACATATCAAAAGAAAATTACCTCTCCAATTTCTTCTTCCGATCAGCAAGTAGAGCCTCAATCTTCCGAATCTGAAGAGCAAGACCCTTCTTCTCAGCATTTGCAAGGAGCCACTCCTCCATGCCACGACGAACATGCCGCATGGAATGCAAGACAGGCAGAATGGGCGCAGATGACAGACCCGCGTCAGCTCCGTTCTCGCGCTCAATGCGCTGCCAGCGCTCGGCACCGGGGTTCAACAAGAGATCGAAGACACCGGCCCAGATTTCACGGTCCCAGTATCGTTTCAGAGACTCACGGATGCGATAGGTGCGGGATGATGCGTTTTCGTCGCCATTGATGGGAGTGGATTCGACGTATTTGCCGAATAACAGGACATGGATCACGCCAGCAATACCGTACAGATCGATTTGGTGGGTCCAGGGGCGCATCTCGCGGATTTCGTTGCACTCGTGAGTACCGGTTTCCCAGTCAGCCATGAATTGCACGCCTGGCGAGAAGGCTTGCATATCGATGCTGCGACCGAAGTCGATAAGGACCAGGCCCTTTTGTTGCCAGCCGTGGGAGCCGCTTGGGGAATAGTGGATGCTTTCGCGGGGGTCGAAAGCGGTTGCATCGGCACCGAGGTCGAGCAGGGAGAGGGCCTTGGAAGGTGCTTCGTTGGGATTGTGGTCGTCTAGGCGGACGAGGCAGTTGTCTGCTTTGATGTCGCCGTGGAGGACGCCGTTGGTGTGGAGTGCTTCGACGGTGCGGAATAGCTCGACTGAGAAGAACATTGCTAGGACCTCCTCCAGACCGCCTTCAGAAGTGTGGCTGGAGTTTATGGCTTCATTGCGGACGATGTTGACGAGGTCGAGTATAGTACCGTGTCCTCGATAGTCCTCTACCAGGAAGCTTTCACGTTGGTGAACATGCAATTCGTGTGCGCGAACAATGCTATCAGCGGCGCGAGAATGGTCCGTAGATTGTCGTAGACGGCTATATGCTGTGCGAATCATGTAGAATTCCCACGCACTTGATGGCCCATTTTCGACTTTGACTGCCTCGAAGGGGAATCGGGGAGTCTCATAAGCGTTCGACTTTCTCAGTTGGGGAATTTTGCCGTTGGGGCTTGCGTCATCATCGGAGTCAGAGTCGTAGGATTCAAGACTGTCGACACTCTCGGCGAGATAGACCGGGGCATATGCACCGGCTCCTAGCTCACGCCTGATAATGTAGCTTCGTTCCGCTCCTGGAAATTCGAGGATAGGTGTGTCAAATGAACCATCACCGCCACTCTTTGATCGCCTGGTGTTAGTTTTGACGAATTTCTGGATCATCGACGCATAGTTGCTATCTTCAACATGACCGTGATAACCCTTGTATGTCGCAAGTGGCTTTTCCAAGGAATTGAGGATCGTGTTGCGAATGCCCTTGTCAGTCGGATTGCACTGCGCATCCCTGATTATTGCTTCCCGTCTCCGTGGCTTGGGCGCGAGGGCCTTGAAGGCCGTGGGACTAAATGGCACATCAGCCGTAGACCCAAGGGTGTGATCTCCATGGTATGGTGTATTTGTCCCAAGTGGACTCGAAAGCAAAAAGTTACCGGCCGGTGATCGAGGCTTCGAAGGCGTTTTCGCGTTGTAAACGCTGTTTCGAGCGGCTGTCAAAGATGGAATGGATTCCGTTCGCTCTACGATAGGTGTCATAAAGGGAAGGCGGTTTTGGGCCATGACCGCAGGGTCACGGTAGGTACCCCATGGAGGAGCATAGTCCTCGGGCATTTCTGGTATGAATCCTTTCCTCTCCGGTGTTCCTTGTGTCGAACTACCTTCGGCTCCATCACTTACGACAGAATGTGAGGTAACTTCAGCATTTGGGATATCACGATCAGGGTTGAAGTCTGTCCAATCGCTCCCATCGCCATCAACGCTCTCAGCTCGTGTTGTGTTTGCATAGTCTGTGTCATCGTATGATTTGTGGAACGTTTGGGTCTCCTCGTCTCCAAACTCGCTCGAGGCCGCTGAGAGGTGCCCTGTTCCTGTACTGTCTCCAGTACTGGCGCAGTCGTCATCTTCGTAATCACTACCGCAGAAGCTATCTGCATCTCCTTCAGTCTCTGCCTTCAATGGCTGGTTGAAGATGCCATAGATTTCATCCGTCGCTGCACGAGTGTGCATGGTCATTGTCGGTTCCCGAGTGCTCTTTCGCCGGACCTTCTTATTATTGGACGGGGAGTCAAACTTCATTTTGACTGTACACGTGTGAGTTTAATCTGTCCAAAAGATGGAAAACTTTTACTACCCACCTGTTTGTGTTTGTGTTGTTTCCCCTTTGATCTTTGTGCGGCTCGTTTTGCTAGATTTGTCTCTATTGGCATCGTCTTGATATTGAGATTGGGTATGATTAGCTGCGGTGAGATTTTGGCCTAAATGCTCCGGCAATTCGTCTGGCGAGTGAGATTTTCCTAATAGGAACTCAGTACTGCTGGTGTTCCCAGAGATCTGCTGCAAGGGCTCTTTCTGTTGCCGCCAATTCTTGTCCATCCAACCACGCTTCATGGCTCTGAGCTCTTCGAAACTCATTTCATGTGCAGGGTTGGTGCGGTCAGGGTATACGGATTCCAGGTCGACAAATACACGTTCGCGTCGGCCGGTCCGCGGGTTAATCGCTTCCCTTACATGATGTTCGGGTACTTCTTTGGGTGGTATTGGTTCTTTGGAAGGAAGATCTGGATTGGACTGAATACATAATAAAACACCATAGGTTCATGCCAGCAATTAGTCCTGTGATCGTAAATATGTGGAGGTCTGAAGATGGAAAGGGCAACCAGGAATGAAAACTCACCTCGTCCCTGAAGATAGCCATCTTTTGTATTGGCGCTGCTTTCTTCCCAACCTTCAATGTTTCCCCTGCCCACGGCTTTGGTTCCACTTCGTTCTCCTTCTTGCGATCCCGAATCGATCCAATGCTTTCCCATCCCTTTGTCGACCCACCAGTTGCGGGACCCGGCGCAGCAGAGTCAGCGTCAGAGAAGATCGCCATCTTGGGCTTTCCGGACTTGGTCTTCGCAGGACTGCCCGTCTGAGGTGGGGGTCGTGAAGCCTGTGGGTCAGCAGAGGCATCTGATGGCGCGAACGGGTTCATCTTGGCGGCCAGCGCGGGACGGACAGCTGGCAAGGCAGGCGAGGAGGGCCCAGTATCTTGTGGACGCTGATCATATCGGAATTGGAACTCGCTGTACTTCCGTGCCAATCTCTCGACCGGCCGCGCCTCACGGTCCATACCGAGCCTGTACACCTCGTCGGCCTGCGACCACCGTCCAGCGCCCTCTAGCCACCCGGCGAATTCCTCATAGAAAAGAGCCAGACTTTCACCAATCTGATGACGAGCAAGGAATGCAAATGTTTCGCGCGGGGCATCTGAGAAGAGTCGAATATAATGAAGCCATAATCGAAGATATCGAGGGTCGTTTCTGTAGTGTGATGATGAAAGGAATGACTTCGTTGCCCGTTCCAATAATGGAAGAAGACCGGATTCTGCAGTCGCTTGTGCGGAGGGATACGCGTTCAGGGTCCATTTGACATAACGGTCATAAACATCGAGCGGATCGTCCGATTCTCCTATCGACTGCAATTCGCTCTCGTATTCTTGACGTATAGCATCGTTGATGGTCCTGGTTCCATTTGGCGATGGCGAAGGGATCTTTTCACCGTTGCTGCCGGCTGAAAATATCCGGGCGAGTTCTCTGGCTGATCGGCCGCCAGGAAGTGATTGGACGTTTTCCTTTTGTGCTTCGATGATATCGAAATCGACCAATTCGTCTGAGGCTGCCATGTTAGCGACGTCGACAGATGATATGAGATCACACAGATCTCAGGTTCTGTCGTAGACCAAAAGTTCAAAGAAAAAGGCAAGTAATTACTCTGGCGGGGCTGCAAGGAGATTCTTTGGTTATCGATAAACATCACATGACCGTTGCCCCGGAGACAGTCACGTGATACTTTTTCCTTAGGCTCCTTGGGTTATACTCTACTCTGACAGCATCGGAGCATAGAATAAGCATTCTGAGTTAAGCTATTCTACAAGCTCAATTTGCTTTACAATCAGACCCTTCATCTGTATTTCGGTCGTTTGGAGTTTTTAGAGCGTGTAGGGTCCTATCTTGATCCACGAGGCTTGGCATTATCAACTTCTTCGGGTCTTCGATCAAGGTTACCCACTTAGGTCAAGAGGCTTTACAGTGTGATATTTTCAGTGCTATGTGTTGCCGAGAACCAGAGTCGCCAGCGTGCGAAGACTCTGGATCGAAGGTCAACCATAAACGGAACCTCAGCAATGGGACATCTGAGCTCTCGCCACCCAGACGATCCAAACGACAGAAATCCACTACAAATTTGAAAGAACTCTCTTCTCCAGAAGGCTCAGAGTCGGAGTCTGAAGAATTTACTCCTGCAGTGAAAAAAGAGGCCGACAAGACACCTCCGGCTGATACTGCCAAGGATAAGAAAAAGAAGGCTCCAGTTAAGAAGGAGTCTGACGACGTCAAACCTAAAAAGGTGAGAAAGTCTAAGAAAGACCAAGAGCTTGAGAGAATGCCTTTGGCACTGCGGACTAAGGGTCTGCGTATGTTTGTTGGTGCTCACGTCAGTGCTGCAAAAGGTCAGTGTTCTCAACATCTATCGTGTCAATTCAATAATAACCCCGATGCGTATCGAGCAGGTGTTTTTAATTCCATACATAATAGCGAGAATATTGGGTGAGTTATAAGGTCTTACATCAAAGTTTGAAATTAAGTCTAATCATGCAATTAGAGGAAATGCAATCGCCTTGTTCTTGAAGTCGCAGCGTAAATGGGAGAACCCAGCTCTGCAGGACGAACATCGCGATGAATTCCGTAAACTTTGCGCAGAAAAGGGTTATGATGCATCCAAGTGAATCTCCCCAACTGGGTTGACACGTATGAATCACTGACATCCACTACCAGGCACATTCTTCCTCATGGTTCATACCTTGTCAATCTGGCCCAAAACGATAAAGCCAAAGCCAAGCAAGCATACACCTCCTTCCTGGATGATCTACGTCGGTGCGAGGCACTTGGAATTACACTTTACAACTTCCAGTGAGTTGACCGCCTGCCAACCATCTCAGCCCATACTAACACACCAAAGCCCCGGAAGTACCAATCAGACACCTCTGCCCGAAGCACTTGCCCGCCTGGCAGAGATGCTAACACAGGCTATTACCGAAACGAAGACCGTAGTTCCAGTTCTCGAGACAATGTGCGGTCATGGCAACACAATCGGCGGCGCACTGTCCGAATTCCGCGACTTGCTAGCTCTAATCCCGGAAGAGCACCACTCCCGCATCGGCATCTGCGTCGACACCTGCCACAGCTTTGCAGCCGGCTATGATCTGACATCCCCAGACGGATTCAAAGCCTTCCTCGCCGAATTTGACGAGCTAATAGGAATCAAATTTCTCCGAGCTCTGCACCTCAATGACTCAAAGGCACCGCGTGGAAGCAAGCGCGACCTACACGCCAATATTGGCACGGGGTTCCTCGGCCTGCGCGCGTTCCACAATGTCATGAACGAGCCGCGATTTGAAGGGCTCCCTATGGTCCTTGAGACGCCTATTGACCGTGTTCCGGGAAAGAATGCAGCCAATGGAGACGAAGCAGATGATGGCAGTGAGAGTGACACTGGGAAGAATAAACCGACAAAGAAGGGCCCCAAGAGACCTGCTGGTGCGGGTGCCGCTGCTGTTCCCGATCCAAGTGTGTGGGCAGGTGAGATCAAACTACTCGAGTCGTTGATTGGCATGGATCCTGAGGGTGAAGAGTTCAAGGCTCTTGAGGCTCGGTTTTCGGAGGAAGGTCGTGCGGAGCGCGAGAAACACCAGGATCAGTATGATCGTAAGCTCGAGGCAGATGAGAAAAAGAAAGCGAAGGGGGCGGGAAAGGCCAAGGGACAGAAGAGTCTTATGGACATGATGAAGAGTGGCGCTACGAAGGAGTAATCGTGTATTCTTGATCTCAGAATAGAGGGTTGCCAATGCGATGGGGAATGCTTGCGGTTTCTGTCTACTTTCTGCGTCATTCTTCGGACTAAATGAAGAACAAAATTATTACGACACTTGAGGTGTCTCGAAATACTAGCATAGATGTAAAACGTAATCCTTCTATAGGTGTTGAAAGTAGGAGATTCAATTGATGGTATCAGTCAAGCCAAAGCCAAAATCCAAACAACCCCCTTCATGCAAACAGAAATAAGAAATTGTAGTTTGGTCAATCCAAAGTTCGACCAATTTATATCTGTGAGAGTAGACATGGGATTCCAAGAGCCACACCAGGTTCTCTTCGAGTAGGTCACAGACCTTCCAACATCAAAGAGACAGGTGACGTAAAAGATAACCACATGTATGTGCAATATAGGTAGATCAAGATAAGAGAGGAGTAGTTAAGAAAGAGTGAAATGCTAGTGAGTGAAATTTTGGTTCCGAATGGGCGAAACAGATGAGCTCGATTGCACTGGCGACGCTTCGTGATCAGGGGCATGTAAGTGAGGGAACCCTGCCTCGGCCATTGTAGTGATAGTCGCAGGTGCTGATCTAAGAGGAGAAGCGGGTCCATCATCTTCTAGAATTGTAGAAGTCGAGATTGAGAGACCGCGCCTGGCGCCACTAGCGCGCACACGGAATGAGCGCTGTTGGTCACTGGCTGATGATGATTGGTGATCATCGTTGATGTAACCACCCGGCGCAGGGCTAATGATGCTAGAGTCTTGATGGGCGATTCGGCGATAATCTCCCGGATCGCCACTGCTATGCTCACCTTCGTCGGTTTCAGATGCAGGAGTTGACTCGCGACTCGATGAATCATCTTCCGGTAGCTCGCTGCGCATCCCTACAATCTTCATGTAGTTGTACGCTGCAATGCTGCTGATAGTGACGACCAAACCGGTCACATTGACCGTTGTGAGCTTATCGTGGAAGATAATACCCGCGGCACTGATTGTCACTACCTCCTTGAAGATACCGCAGATACTCAATGTGACAACCGAGGAGCGCTTCAAAAGCGCAAACTCAGAGGAAATCATGCAGAATGCAAGTACTCCAGGGAAAATCAAAAGGAAGGAGCCAAATAGGTCCCCATGTTTGCTAGCGAGCGCAAGGTATCCTTGGTAAATCTCATGAGGACCTTCGATACCTAGCGCAATGGTGATAAGCGAAAGGAACATGATAGGAGTAAGGAGAAAGAGGGTTGAGAATGGATTTGAAGTAGCTGGATGGCGAAGCAAGAGAATTTGTGTCAGACCCCATCGGAAGCCCGAAAAGAATGCAGACGCAATGACGAGTGCGAAGCCAAGTGCGTTGAAAGCCGTCTCTCCAGCGACCATCATCACGACACCTATGGTCATTGTGGCAATGATGATGATTAATTTCATCGAAGGTGTCTCGAGTCGGAAAAGGAAGGCAAATAAAAGGACGAAGGCAAGTGCAGACGATTTGCACATGGTCAAGAAAGTAAGAGAAATGAACTTCAAGGACATATTTCCAAGACCAACATCAAGAGACGTTGCTGCACCACACGGAACAAGGCGAGTGAAGTAGAATAATTTGGACACGAGGGGTTGCGGTTGCTCGGGGCCATCGATGGGAGATGTAGTTGCGGACCCTGTCGATTGTTTCGGACGGAGCGATGGAAATATCCAGAGTATCATAGCGGATAAAGAGAATTGGACAGCCATGTGTAAGCTTGTTGTGAAAAGAGGGAAAGGAAAGACGACATCGTTCTCGGAGAACATCCATTTGTTGTACTGCAAAGACGACAATTGTTAGTTCCTTTGCGACTTGGAACACTTCAAAGAATCACTCACTATTGAAATGGACAGCGAGAACAGATACCACAGCAAGATCAGCCCGCCATTGATTAGCAGGTTCTGGACAATCTTTCTGTCTGACAGAATCTCGCGAATAGAACTCTGGCCCTTGACATCTGCGATTCGGGCATCCAACCTGCGGCGCTGCTTTCGCCGTCGACGTCGTTGACGTTTTTGATGTGTTGTGAGTCCAGTTTCCTCGTCATATTGGTCATCATCCGAACTCATCGGGTCCAGCTCCAACGTCTCTGAAGCGGATAGGTTATCGGACGCATCGGGGTCTTCTGCGGTCAAAGGTTCTTCTTCACGTTTATGATTTCCTCCATCTCCATGCGACCAGAGTGGGTCATCTCTGCGCTCTGTCAAAACCGGTTGTGAGGCTCGCCCTGTCCCGGCAAGCATGGAGCTTCGCCGACGGTGATGGGCGCCGGCGGAGAGCCCCATCCTAATAAATGGGACAGTTAAGAGATAAAGATAAAAAGATCGGAACTGAGATGTTTCTCCATTAACGTCGACGGGAATAAGCGTGTCGCACGAGCACGAGGGCAAAAAGCCTCGGGAGTTGCACTTCCAAGGTTGGGCAAGGCGGAAATATGCTGACAAATAAAGAGGGGAATGAGGAAAGAAAGCAAATAAAAGAAAGAAGAAAAAAAAGGAATGCAAATGAGAGACAGGTATTCCAGATGAATATGGCAAAACTTGGAATTAAAGGGCGGTGATATTCATTTCAAGTCTCTCCTTTCTTTCTTCACAACTTCCTCTCATTGGATACACATTTTATATCCCCACTATCCGGTCGATCCGGGGTCAAGGGGGAAAAAACAACAACAATATTTCGATCTTTTATACTTCCCATAGGAGATTTGAATGGTTTGAGGGATCTGAGAGGCGTTCTTGGGCGTCAATTCCCATTGGCGGACTGAAACCTCCGGCCTCAATTTGAAGTTGTGAATAAAAGCCGACCTCCTTAATCATTTCATTTGCCTTGGTGACCTTAGATTGAACACGGCTTGTTGACAGCAAAGGAGTTTCACTGTCAATATGAGTCTTTCTTCAAAAGCAATGACAATCTGTCTCGGTAGAGCTCATCTTTATCTGCCATGAAGAAGCCCTAAACCCACCCGGCATAGCCATGACCTCAGATCCATTATCATCATCATGTCGTGGTGTCTCCCACAAGTTCCGGCTATAATATATTCGGAGGATGCGGATGATAAGTGACAATGGAGGCATTGCACCTACTTCCCTGCCTTCATTTCCCTCCTTTCTCCTCCTCTTCCATCTTCTTTGCGTTGATGTTACAAAACACCATTTGATCTTCAAACAACCTTCATCGGTATTCTGTACTTGCATCGGATTCCTCTAGATAATTTGCACACGTTGTCATCATGGGTGAACCTGCGTACAATGCAATCGAGGACTATGGCTTGATTGGGGACATGCATACCTGTGCCCTGATCAGCAAGGCCGGTAGTTTGGATTACATGTGCTGGCCAGTCTTTGACTCTCCTACCGTTTTCTGTCGCCTGCTGGACGACAAGAAAGGAGGGTTCTTCTCCGTGCAGCCCTACAAGACGGTGGTAGATGCCCACAGCAAGCAGAGGTATCTTCCATACTCGAACCTGCTTGAAACCAGGTGGACCAACGAGGATGGCGTCGCAACATTGTTGGACTACTTTCCTGTCACACCTAAAAAGGGCGCACAGTCGTCTCGGTTGTTGTCCGGATACTGTCCTTGTAATGAACCGGGGACCAATCGCTTCAAGTCAGGACTGCAGCACTCTGGCCTGATCAGAAAGCTAGAGTGCAGCCGTGGCTCGATGGAGTTGCAAGTGGAGGTGTTCCCGGCCTTTAATTATGCGCGAGAGTCTCACAACACCCGTGCAAAGCTGGAAGATGACATGTCCATGCACCGGCTGCAGACTGTCCACTTCGAGAGTGAGTCAGAGCGGTTGCAACTCGAGATATTTGCCGATTCACGGGAGCCAGATAAGCTTGGTTTCCCCTCGGCATCTTTGAAACTGGAAGAACGAGAGGGCCTCCGTGGCCGCGGATTGGTGGCATGGATCCGTCTGTCGGAGGGTCAGACCATCCATCTGGTGTTGCATAGCCCCGAGAAGGCTGTCCCCAGCTCGGCCACCATGTCAGCCTACCTCTTGAAAATGGAGGAGGAAACTTCCGACTATTGGACCGATTGGACACGCAAGTGTTCCTTCCGTGGTCATTACCGGGAGACCGTCGAGCGCAGTCTCCTCATTCTGAAGCTGTTGACCTACAAACCGACGGGTGCAATTATCGCGGCGCCCACCTTCTCCCTCCCCGAAAATGTGGGAGGGTCTAGGAACTGGGACTATCGATATTCCTGGGTACGTGACACAGCCTTCACACTGTATGTCTTTCTCAAGATGGGCTACAGCCAAGAAGCGGAAGCGTATGTCAACTTCATCTTTGAGCGGGTCTTCCCACATGCTTCTCAAGACCTTGATCCCAACAACAAGAGACCCTTCTTGCCGCTGATGTTCACTATTCGGGGCGAGTACGATATTCCCGAGGTGGAACTGACCCACCTCGATGGGTACAAAGGTAGCAAGCCTGTTCGCATTGGCAATGCTGCCGTCTTCCACACGCAGCTAGATATCTACGGTGAATTGTTGGACAGTATCTACCTGTACAACAAGCACGGAAACCCGATCACCTACGACCAATGGAACTCTATCCGGCGTATGATCAACTACGTCCTCGGTGTTCGAAACCGGAAGGACATGTCCATTTGGGAATCGCGTGGTCAGATCCAAAACTTTATCTATTCAAAGATCATGATGTGGGTGGCCCTGGATCGTGGTGTCCGCCTTGCTGAGAAGCGTGCTAGCCTGCCATGCCCGGATCGGTTTGAATGGATCAGGGTCCGTGACGAGATGTACGACGAAATCATGACCAAAGGGTATAACGAAGAGCGTGGCCATTTCTCCCAGAGTTATGAGAGTCCCGAGGTCCTGGATGCTTCCATCTTGATTGCACCCTTGGTCTTCTTCGTTGCACCCAATGATCCGCGATTCATCAGCACGCTACAGAGGATTTTGCAAAGCCCCGAGAAGGAGGGTTTATGCAGCGCTAAGATGGTGTTCCGATATGACCACGAAAAAGCCAATGATGGTAGGTGTATCCTGTGTTCCTAAAATATTAAACTAGAATGCTGATGTGTCGCACAGGTATGGCAGGAGGCGAGGGTGCTTTCATCATGGTAACCTTCTGGCTTGTGGAAGCCATGGCTCGTGTAAGTTTGATACTACTATGTAATGAAATATTGAAATATGCTGACTTGAAATTTCAAATTCAGGCTGCCAAATACGATGTGCCTATTCCAAATATCTGGAAACTTGCGCTTTCGCACTTCGATAATATCCTGTCCTACGCAAATCACCTGGGCATGTTTTCTGAAGAAGTGGCCATTTCTGGCGAGCAGATGGGCAATGCCCCACAAGCCTTTAGCCACCTGGCCTGTGTTAGCGCTGCAATTAATTTGGGAAGAATCGGACGAGTTGGTGGTGACTAGACCTCTCGTAAGTGGCTACAGACTGACTACTTTGATGATACTGTTGTCTTTGACAAAAAGAAAATTGTTTCCATTTTATTTTCTGCAGTTAGAAAAAAACAAAATCCAACTTCCTTTTCGTTATCTCAGTCTTCACTGTCACCAATATGTACATGTACATTTGAAGTCGTAACATAAAACAACTGGTCAACTACTATGTATGAACAGTGTTGGTTTTTTTTTGACAAGTAGATACCTATATATAGCCAACATGGTTATACACTGATAGCTAATGTAGCTAATGTATGTAGTTAAATCTAGTCAATACATTTCATTTATCCTTGTCCTGATCCAGCCCCGGTGGTCCACCCGTGGACAGGTGCAGACATATGCTGACATAATAACCCAGATGATCAACCCGGGAGCTCTAGGCTTGGTGGCTACCCCAAATTTCCTTCATTATCATCTGTGGTTGTCTTTATTCAAAAATAAATTTGAACAAAGGAACTGCCGGGGTGTTATTCTCTTCAGCTTCTAGCTGGAGATGTTATTAGCTACTGACATATCGTGCTTTATTACCCCGGTCTTTCAGGAATCCCCACTCTCTAATGGCAGGCGCCAGCTTGGATTGGGCTGATAAGCCCAACGCCGATCCCGCCTTGTCATCGGATGAAGAGGACTTTAATTCCAGCCCAAGCACTACTTCAAGGGAGCTTGACGGCGTTGCCAAGCAAGATCTAACGCTGGATTTGGGGAAGTTGCGCTTGGAGCAAGAGTTGAATCGATCCTCCGAACAGGACGCGACTCCAACAACTCCCCGCACAGAAGGACCAAATCAAACCCCCCAAGAACTGGAAATGGCCAACCCTCTGCAGTTGTTGGATTTACCTTTAGATATTTTGAAAGAGATCATCAAAGAGGTAACGCACACAAGTCTCCCCCGCAGGTCGTGAATAGTTAGCTTACAGTTTGGTGTACAATAGGTGACCCACACGACTGACCTGACCTCGCTCGCTCTTACATGCTCTGCTCTGCATTCCCTAGCTATCCCGCATATGTACTCCCGTTTCGACATCGTCTGGCCCGAGTCGCTAAACCCATCAACGGATGACTACTCGGGGGTGGATGCCCTGTCTTATGGTCTTTCTACGTTGGTCATGGGCGAGGATGTATTTAATCGGATGCCGCTGTTTCCATCTGGCCAAGCCCAAAATAGCTGTGTGAATTGTGGTTGCGATAACCCTCATCATCAGCCGGTCTCGGACCCTGGCGACAACGGACTTCGATTCCGGTCGCGACGAGGCAATCATTATGCCCAGTATACCCGCACGTTCTCCATTGGAAATGGTCCTCTCAGCTGGGTACAAGAATACTCGGTGACAAAAGAAGTGGGTAAGATGCTAGGGACGTTGGTTGCCTTAGCAGTTGCACGGATGGTGAACCTCGAAGCCTTTGTTTGGGACATGCCGACTGGAGTGGTCCGTGAAATTTGGCTGGCGCTTGCGTCGTTGGCAGATCGGCCTGGGCACGATTGTCGCCTGGAGCGCATCTGGGTGCGCTGGCATGATAATTCGGAGAATGCTTTACGCAGTCCGTCGGCAGCGGCAACGAGGCTTTTCCAGAAATACAAACATGTGGAACATCCTTCCTTGTCGGTACTGCCTCCACTCAAGAGCGTGGCTGTTCTTGACATAGATGAACCCGCTTATGTAGAGGAGCTGGCACTTCTCATTGAGCGGTCACGTCGCCGTCTGTCTGAACTCCGAATTGGTATTGCCGAAAAGGCCCACATGAGTACATGGCTGCTGTGTGGGAAGAATTCTGATGGCTCAACGAGTTGGCCTAGGGCTGATGGTGTACTTGGCATCTTGGCACGGCGGAATCTTGACAAAAAGCAGGACAATACAATAAGCCCCTCCCATGAAGAGAAGCCGATGCCATTTGAAGGTTCAATAAACAATGCACCAGATGCTACAGAAAACGCAACTCCATTGACTGCAAATGGTGAGCAGCAGCCTCCCAGCACTACCAAGGATAAAAAGTCCGCACCAAGCTCTGGTTTGCACAATCGGAGTGCCCCATTACCGCTGCCTTCCCATCAACCTGACAGTGACATGCTTTATCTCAAAGTACTTGAGCTGGAGCGCGTCCCTCTTTCTGTGGCAACATTGCTGCCGGCTGTTGACTGGACTGGATTGACTACTCTCACCATCATGCGATGTGAGGATCATGAAAAACTTTGGAGGGCTCTCCGTCGGAAATATGCCCCTCCTGCGATGCCAACAAAGCGTCCACAAGATTCAGAGCGTCGAGCAAGCGCCAGCTCAGTTGAATACTCACTGAACCTGAAACATATTCGCACGGACACTGTTTCGCCTTATCTTATACTGTTTATCAAGGATGCGCTGGCTCCGAATACCTTGGAGAGTGTTTATCTGCATGAAGCCCCAGGCCACGAATCAGCTGTTCAGATCGACGCTATCTATAGGCACATTTTGCGAAAGCATAGGCAGAGTCTGCGAAAGGTGTTGATTGACGCCACTGACCGTATTATTGGCACCGGATATTCAAACACACGATGGCACAAGTGGATGTTTAACCACGAGATGGTATCATTTGTCACGAGTGGAAAGATGCCGCAGTTGAAAGAGCTGGGGATGGCGATGCATTATCGAGATTGGGTAAGAGCACGACCTTCAGCCTTGAATATCTCCACCAGATCTCGGGGGCTTGTACTAATGATGATCCCACAGCATTTCTTCCTCCAGAGATTGCCGAATATGCCCCAGCTTCGTGCTTTGTATCTACCACACATTCATCATAGCGTTCACCGCGAGTTGAAAGAGCTTGCTCTACAGGTTTTGGACATCGTCAGCATACGTCCAGATCTGAAGATTGCCTACATTGGTCTCCACATCAAATGCTACCAAATCCTTGAAGCAAGACATGACGATAACCCACTAGATTTCGATGACAACCCTGCAATTGATCATTCCCCAACGCATAGTGAAGATGAGGATGAAGGGTGGGCCAACCCCATTCACGAGTCTGAAGAAGACAGTGATGAATCCGACGATGCTTCGGGGGCAGCTGACACAGACCTCCTTTCCAGTGACCCGGATGACTACGATACCGAACCCGAAGAACAGGGTACTTCGAGGATTCGGTACCGGCTACAGGAGATTTTATTTTATGATGAAAAGGTATCCATTTTCAAGGCGCGCCACGGTGTTTTGTGATTTTCCTTCGGTTTGCATTTATACGCGAAGGAGTCTGAATCATTTGCGGCGTTTGAAGGCAGAGTACACGAGATACCATGGCTGTTTAGCTTAGCACTAAGGTTATTTGCTGTCAACCTTGGAATAGCACTTTTTTTCAACTGAAGATGGTTTATTTCAGAGTAACCGAGAATAAAATATGATATTGTAGACTGCAAAATGGTTATGCTTCGATTTCAATGAAAATGACATGACCTGGTCCAGTACCACTGACGAAAATACGGTTGTAAATCTCAGCTCAAAAATGGTCTGTAGGAGGCTTATTAGGCTCACAGTGTGTCCTTAGTAAGCTCATGGTCTCAGTCCAGTGGAAGGAAGTGTTCCTCAAAGAAAGCATAGATTGCTTTGCTCTCTTCTGCTTTGCTTTGCTCTGAAAGTGTTCCACTTTGCTTCAGATGATAAGCCCAATAGCTGCAAGAGTATCTAACCGCTCGTAAGGGGTCAGGGCTGGGGGGTTGGATTTCTTCGCTTGTCACGCCTGGGCCCTTCAGGTTGTATATATTTCGCTTTAAAGTGGTCTTCATACCTTCTAAAGAAAGTCTGTAAACATCATGATGTACCTTTTCGTGAGACACATCACGGAGCTTCTAGAACCTGTCATTCATGTAATCCTGTGCTGACTGGTGGATTGGATAGACGATATCTCCTTGGACAGCTAAGAATTATCTACATTCCCTAACAACAGCCAATGAGTTTTGCTTCGGCAGGGGAGCGAGAAGATTGATTTTGTCCAAGCTCAATGGACGACAGGTGAGGGAAATGAGGGCGAGAACAGTTTTGCAGTTTGAAAATCTGGTTTTCATTTGCGGTCTAGGATCTTCCAATCTCTGCAGCAAAAAGTCATAGAGCTCTCTCTGTCAGCTGCTCCGGAGCATATTGGAGGATGTCGCTACAATAAGACGGATGCGTTCTACTGAGCTCTTGGCAAATCAAAGAAACAGATAAATGTGTTGCTTGCTCGTCCTCGTAGTTACGTGATGAGGTTTCCTGCAGTCTCCACATCCAAGGATTCTTCATGGATCTCCTTTAGTTCAAGCTGCTTCTGATTGATATAAATATTGATTGGATTCTTCAAGGAGCAATCATCCAATTTGAAGATCGTATAGTAGCCTGTCTTTTTCATGGCAGATTCAATTGAGATCTCAATCTCTCCCAAGGTCCGACTTGATAGGATACACTTCATTAACGGAGCCGTGGACCTCAAGTCTTGGAAGAATTTGATGAGTTGTTCCCTGTCATCATCTTTGCATTCGTCTAGACCATCGACGATGAGGACGACCCGGCCTAAGTCCGGATCCTGTATCATGCTTTTGAAAATTGGAGATAACTTATTGAAGGCAAACCTACCCTCAAATAACTTGTCGTTCATATTATCCTATTTATCGCTCAAATGATGTACGAGCATTAGTCTTTGTTGGAGTAGAAACCACATGACGGATCGGATGAAGGCTGAAGCATGGTTCAAATTGTCGTCCTTGCCATTGAAGAAGAAGTATAAAACCTCTGATGCTTCGGGACTCGGATTTTGGGCCATGAGCTCATAGATAATCCCCATCAACAGCATTGTTTTTCCAGTGCCCGCTAGTCCATTGATCTACAGAAATGTAGATGCCGACGAAATCTCCCAATTGGCGAAATCCTGATATTTTTTACAACTCAGAAACCATTTGTAGACATCTCGGATGACTTTATCTTTTCGGTTTTCAATCTCCTGCATTTGACATCGTGGATCAATCAGACACAAGGAACTCATGATATCGTGGTACTTGAGCTTTACCACACCCTTTCCAACTGACATGAACTGATTAGCGGTATTCGCCAATAATTCTATGCGACATTGGGTCATCTTCGCTTGGAATGGCTGTTCCAGATCGGCAATACTCTTAAGATCATCATGCCAATTATCGAATTTCAAAATGGTGCAGATGAAATACTCCAGACTGACGCTTGTAGTAGAAGCAGACACTTTTGATCTGGTAAAAGAGAAGGGCTTGATAGCTCTCACACAGATCATCCTCGAGCATGTTCCGAACTTGTTCTAGAGGCCGTTTATCATACTGCAGAAGTTGATCGGTCATTTCGGAGTACCAGTTGATGCGAGTGATGACCTTTCATCCCCGTGTAAATTGTTTTCATGGAGTGCACGGAACCCAGCAGAATCTAATCAAGCAGTGACACTGGTCAACTCATGAGGCATTGCAACAGAAGAGAGGCTGACTTCCACACACGAAGCAACCACCGCCCAAGGCAATGCCGTATATACGATGTTGCTGAGAGGGATGACAACGACTGTTTTAATAATATCGATCACCTCTGCGGCGCTACTAAACTTTGTGATTGTGGCTTTGTTTTTCGAGACTTTTTGCGATCCCCTCTCGGTCAGAAGCTCCAACCGTCTATCTCCCAAAGCCGTCTGATCAGTTTTGTCAATGAGATCGGAGTGGATAGGATCCTCGGAGAAGATATTGCGCATCAATTCTAGGATAAGCTTGCACCTGGGCAGTAAATTGTAAGAATATAAGCGGGGTAACGTGACACTTGGGGCTTTGGTTTACTGCCATAAAATTGGCCATCCATGTGATTGTCTATACTGTAAATTATCATAGTAATTACTTGGATAGACAGTATATTTCACACTGTGCTTGTTACCGTAGGGTAGGGCCATTAAAAAGGTATTCTAACTTCTGCAAGACGGTATATTTGACAGCTAAATGTAAAAATCCTCAGTCTAAGCTGTAACTCCACGCGACTGATTATTTGCTTTTCACTCATATAAATCATAATATCGTAGTATTTCCTTGTTTATGCTAAGTCGAAAGGTATCTGAGACAGAGCGCTAGTGCTCAATTGATATATTATTCACAGATTGGTTCATGCAAACTCCCGGTGCGCATTCTCATACTGGGCACGAATCAACTCGTTCTCGATCACGCGCCTCTTGGCCTTTTCTTCTTCGCTAGAATTATCTTTGAACACATGGTCCATCTGCTCGAGGGTTCGGCCCTTGGTTTCCGGCACAAAAAAGTAAGTCCACATTCCGGCGAGGATGCAAAAGACGGCGAAGAAGACATAAGCACCGTAACCAGTGTCTTGGACAAGAGGTGGGGTGATGAGACCCTACAGAAATAAGTAATATGTTTAACACATTTGCGACCAAGTAATGATGACTAGAGACTTACAATGATGAAGTTGTTCAGCCAGTTGGAGCAAGTTGAAAGAGCAACACCCTTGGCACGAAGGGAAGAAGGGAAGATTTCTAAATATGTCAGATTGGTGTCTGGTTAATAGAATAAAAGGAGGAAGACGTACCAGAAGGCATAGCCCATGGGATAGGACCCCAGGTAGCCCCAAAGGCAAGCATGTAGAATAGTAGGAAGGCCACACTCGTCCACCCTTCTGCTTTGTGGGACGGCCAATCTGCAGAGAAAATCCCGACTAAAGCAGCAATGATAATATGGGATATGGCCATGAGGATAGCGCCAGCCATAAGCAACTTGCGACGGCCGACGACGTCCATGGTCCAGATACTAGTGGTGACACCCACCAGCTGTACCACATTGAGGACGCCAGACATGATGAGCTGCATGCTCGTGTCGAGACCCATTGTCGCAAAGAGGGTGGGAGAGTAGTAAATAAGAGCGTTGATACCGATGAACTACCCATATGGTTAGCATGTTTTAGTTATCCCTACTTAGAAAGAACTCACCTGTTGGAAGAATCCCAGTCCGATACCGATGTGAGTACGACGCCAGCAGCCCTTCTTGAAGCAGTCGGCCCACGATGAAAGCTCCTGAAGAATGGAGTTCTTTGTGCCACCACCTTGTAAATCTGGATGATTTTCCCTGTTCATTTGCTGGTGGAAGCGCACTTCAGCCTGGATATCCATAAGTTCCTGGCGAACACGTCTGTCGGATGCTGGTAGGGAACGGAGCCTGCAAAGACTCTCAAGAGCTTCCTCATCGCGACCCTTTGAAGCCAGCCAACGCGGCGAGAACGGAAGAGCATATACACCGGCAGCAAGGACAAAACCTGGGATCAATTGGAGCAGGAAAGGGAGACGCCAGGCCCATTCACCGACCATGTACTGTGTGCCATAGGTGATCCAAAAGGCAATCACAATGCCGAGGACAATACACCATTCTTCCATAACTAGGAGCGTACCACGGCATTCGGGAGGACCTAATAGAGAGATTGGAATAAGCATTTTTATCAAATGTGAAAAAGAAAACCCCCCGAGGAGACATACTGATTTCGGAGATGTACAATGGTGCAACCATAGATAACATTCCGATTCCGATACCACCAATCAGCCGAGCTACCGTCAACATGGGGTAACCATAGGCAGCAGTTTGAAGCACGGAGCCAACAGTGAAGATGGCAACGGCGACGAGAATCGAATATCGCCGCGAGATTTTATCCGCAATCCAGCCCTGATTGAGAGCACCAATCAAAGCCCCTAACTCAATCATCGCCGTCAACAGTCCTTTCGCAAAGCCTGAGCCCGGGTTACTCTCTTCTATGCGCGGGAATTCCGCCAAGAACTGGTCCATGACCAGAATCACCGACACAACACCTTGGTCATAACCAAAAAGCAAACCACCTAGCGTTGAGCATGCGGCACACAGAACCACGAATGGGTTGGCTACTAGACCGCGCAGACCGGGTGGGCCATAAGGCTCACGGTCTGAGGCAATGTTGTCGGCATGGTGAGAGAAGCCATCTACCACGGGATCATGGGATAGTTCTTTCGTAGCGGGGATGTCATCAGCCATTTTGAATGGAGATTATTAAAGAGGTGAGTTGAAGAACTCAAGATTATATGAAGCGGCAAACGCTTTATTCAAAACTGTGTCCCGAAGGAACTCCGATATTTATACCCATTTTCCCCAGTTACCTAGCCGGGGTAGTATACAAGGTTTGTTCACTCCGTGAATCGGGGCATATAGGAATGGGGTCCCCGGCTAGGAAAGCCAATGAGGCAAGGCCTCGGGATCCAAAGTCGGGGTTGATGACGGTGTCGTAGACGGTTCGGCAGCGGGTTTGGGGAAGATCGGCACTATTGCGATTGTGGGGAAAACACGGAGAAGGGACGTAATATCGTGCCGTCAATTGGTGGCGGCTATTGGCATAGATCTTGGACGTTTCAACTTCCTCTTGTTATATTACTCGGCTTTTGAGAAATAAGGCTCTCAGCCACGCCAACTTTATTGCGCCTGACCAGGTTGGGATAGGATAGGTGGAAGATAGGCTCATCCCTGCAACATTGTACTGCAACATTTGAGGACATATCCGCTTTGCTTTAACCCTGAGAGACATAGTAGTGTACTTGTCACTACTGCATCAATATTGATATGAGCTTCCCCTATCCTTCCTATATTTGTGTCTATTACTGAGTATATATGGATATCTTAAGATATCCCATATCTGGTTTCAACAGATACAGGCATATAAACTCGGGAACACGATGGTTTAATGATGAAGCCTGCCAAATTCGAATGTATATTCGAACTCTTATCATTTTCGGGCCGGCCATGCATTTCGGAAAGTCAAGTGACTATAAGCCGATCTATCCCGTGATAGTGTAAGACATAGGGCCTGATCTCTTCATCTGACAGAATTAATAACACGATACTCCGTAGAGTAGGTAGAATAGGCAGAATATCTAGTTAATATCCATATAATATCCAAGAGTAGATTTCCTCACGGGGTATAACGGGATACATTCCTAAAAACTCCATAAATTCCATCGGAATTCATTGCCCACGTCCACTTTAACGTGGAGCAGAGCCTAACCTGAGCGGTGTCGATTCCGGTAACCATTTTCCCCCCACGGATTCCAGTTCCCGAACCCCCTCACCCTGCAACCTTCGGATTTCCAACTTCATTTTGAAAATCATGGCTTCCTTCATGGGAGACCTGTGGTCTAGCATCTTCACCCCAGGACCCACCCCGACGCTTTTGATCGCGACCAACGTCACCTTCGCCGCACTCCAGTTTATCTTCCTCGCCCTCCTCCTAGCCACATACAGCCTCCACTTCGTCGCCCTATCCATCATCAGTGGTGGACTATGGTGGTCTATTAACTGGTTCGCCGCCGAGGTGCGACTTGCACAACAGGCGCAGGAGGCTGAGAAAGAAAAACAAGAGGGTGACGACGCGAAGACGCGCCGGAAGAGTCCTGTAAGAGAAAGCGCCGACAGCGAAACAGAGACTGAAGCTCTCGTCACCAAGAAAGCAGATAAGCCTAGTGCTGTCGCGACCGGGAGTGCAACGTCCGGGTTGCTGCCCACGGCGCGCGATCATAAG